CTCTTAGCTCAAATGAGAAGTAAACTAGATAATTTCTAAGATCATATCTAGGTCTAAACTTCTATGCCTCTCAGAATTTCCTCCTAGACCTCTGTGGTTTGTTGTTTTAATTCAAGCAAAAGTTTACAAGAGGGGATTAAACAGTTCTCAAACATACATTACAAACAACATATATATATATAATTTTTTTCATTTTTAGAAAGATTTTATTTATTTGAGAGGAAGAGAGAAAGCACGAGTCGGGGGCAGAGGCAGAGGGAGAGGGAGAAGCTGACTTCCAGCTGAGCAGGGAGCCCGGTGCAGGGCTCAATCCCAGGACCCCGAGATCATGACCCGAGCCAAAGGTCGATGCTTAACTGACTGAGCCAACCAGGCACCCCTATATATTTCCTTCAAATAGCATATATTGATGTGAGTTCAGTAGTGTACTGTTCCTCCCTAAATCTTTGTTAGAAGCTGAACCTATCTCTATGGAATTTCATGAATGCTTGATCTACTCATGATTGTATGAGGCCAGGAGCAGAATATTCAAACCACTGAATTTTGACCAACTACCTAATGTGGTAATAACCCGGTCAGGTCCCTATGGAAGAGGCATGCTGAGGATACTCCAGGCCAAGGAACACTAGAGCTGGGGCCTTGATCCAGATCTTGAATGAATACTCGATACAGGTAAGCTAGGCATTACTACCCTGGTGCCACAGGGACTCCTGCCTAGCCTACATATGCATCGTGCTCCTCCTTTTCTTCTGGACACCTCCTGACTCATCTCCCCATTTCTCTCTCAAGTGGGAGGAAGTCCCAGGGCATTTTCTGTGCCATCCACATGGCAGAAAAATTCTGAGAAGGATAATCAATCCCGATACAGAAAAAAATCTAAGAGAAATCTAAGAGAAGATCCAAAAGTCACTCCCAACAGAAGACCTCTTAACCGTGCTCTTTTGACAAAGAAGTCTACCCGTAGAATCGGTGAAATTGGACATTTTGGAAACCTGAATCACAGCAATATACCAGTAATGTTTTCTGAAGTCAAATGTTAGTAGATGGTCAAAGAACAGAGATGTTGAAGGGACCTGTGCTCTAGGTTTCTTGGAGGCTATATCATGGCTATTAGTCAAGGAAGGAAAATAAGACATGGAGAACCCAAGCAGGAGGAGAATGGTAAGAAGGCAAGGAAATGAGTGATAAATCTTTTAGGACTGATTGGGGAATTCCAGTGGGCAAAGGGGGTAAATTATTTTCCATAAGGGACTTACATAATCAGTTTAAGGTTTCATCAATACCCCACTCCCTGAAGGGAGCTGCAGATTACATCTGTGGGTTTGGCTAGCATGAGCATTTATAACCACTGAGGCGCTAGGCAGAAGGCTTAAGAGATCAGACTGGAGCCAAGATAATCCTAATCCAGAGCAGCCACCAGGTTTCCTGGAGCAGGATGTAGTTTAAGCAAAAGAGGCCCCCCACTGAAAGGGCCTTAAACACCACACAACGGTCTTACCTTTAGAAACTAGCCCTTTTTTGGTCTAAAAATCCCAACATCAGAGGCTGTTGCCCTAACCCTGGATAGGATTGCTGATATTTTCCCATGAGAGATGAAAGCTTAAAGTAGGCAAAAGCCTTAATCAAACGATGGTAAAGGGGAAACTAACATCTTTATCAGTATTCCTCTTCATACACTGTTGATTCTAGACCAACAGAATTCTTACCTCCCCGATATTACTCCAGATTCTTCAGAGATCTCTGCCTAGGTTCGGTGCCATTTCATTCTATTCTTTCAAAATTATTCATTAAATATCTCTGCACCAGACACCATTCTAGGGCCTGCTGGATCCTAAACCAAACAAGTTAGACGAAGTTCTCCTTCAAATTTGTAGTCCTCCTTCATGAACTGCTTTTTGTCTACACATTGATATTCTTTCTGTCTTTAAAATTTTAACACAAATGCTCCCTCATTCATGCATTCTTGTGAAAAATTCTGGTTGAACACTTAACTATGTGCAGAGTCCCGGCTCAGGCAGTAAGGATTCAACTGTGAAAAAGACACCATTCACTCAGCATGTGGTCTGTGGTAGACACAAACAAGAAGCTAAAGTGAGGGTGTCATAAAGAAGTAACCCAAAAGGAAGAAATGCCTAAGTGCTTCTCAAAGTTTCTCATAGCACATACAGGAGATTGCTCTTGGCTGGAGGTGACCGGCTAGAAGGTCTAGCTGTCCCAGGCTCTGCCTGGCCAACCTAAGGACTGAGAGGATCACTGTCTCAGCACACCTGTACCCCATTCATAGCATAATTGTTGGTCTGGTCTAGGCTAAGGCCTGAAGGATGAGTAGGTGCTAAATTAGAGAACACATATTCAGAGCCCTGTAGGTGTTCATTTAACAAGTCTTCATTGAGCATCTACTATGTGCCAGACACTGTGCCTGGGGCTAGGAATACAACAGTGAACACAGAATCTATGCTTAAGGAGATTTTACTCTAGTGTGGAAGACAGACAATACAATACTATGACATAAGTGCTCTCTACTGGAGGTAAAATCAAAGGGTTATAGGACTTTACCCAGGTCTGAGAAGTCAGAGATTTACAGGGTGGTAAAATAAATGTTAAGACCTTCAAGGAAGTGGAGTGGGAGTGGGAGGTAGGAAAGGCATTCCAAGGAGAAGAGTATGGTAAAAGTGAGATAATCAAGGCACATCTCCTTTTGCTATCCCCAAAAACCCTATGCTCAATACAGATTCCTCACTATCTAAAAGTAGAGCATTCCTATGACACCTTTCATAAATCAAAATAGTGTAAAGGTGAAGCAATTACCATTCATTTATATGGAAAATTTTTGAGCATTCCCAGACCCAAAAAACAACCTCTCTTAGGCTTTTCTGATACCTTAGGACACATCTTGCTAATGGATGCACAAAATAAACTGAGATAAAACACAGATCTTCACAGACACAGTTTAAAGCTATGGCAGCTGAGGATGGTTCCCAGGGAAGGAGCTTGATGAGGCCACTCTTGCTGCTTGGGACGCGCACGGCCTCTATAATGGCTGGCTGCAAGACAAATGCTGAACAACACTATTTTCGCTGTATTTATTTATTTATTTATTTATTTTTGGAAAAACAAAAATCCTCCAGATTTCTTTAGGTTAGTGAAAACAGGTACTGATGTAGGTCTTTTGTAAAAGGGAGTGGCTTAATGACAACTTTCAAAAACCTATATGCCATCTTTTTTCACTCCTCTGTGCTTTGCCCATGCTCCCCTTCTTGATTGGCTAACTCATGCTTTAGGAGCCAACTCAAAAGTCACCTCCTTTGAGAAAGACTTCCCCAGGCAAAATTAGTCATTCCCTCCTCTCTGCTTCTACAGTGATGACTGAATGAACTAAAAATCTGGACACGTCTGATATGTCTTTTTCTGATATGTAAACTAATTTTATAAGAAGCCATAGATATGAAATTAAATGTTTTATTCATTTAACAAGCTCTTCAATAAAGGGAAAAATTAGGAAAACAACCAAATATCATATACTATATTATCTGTGTCATTATTCTTGTTATTCATCTGTTAAAATTGATGGCAATGTTGAATTGAATATAGACTAATTTAAAGAATCCATACTGTTAAATAACTGTTTAATTTACTTTTGCTACTATCTCTATGCTGGTCTCTAAATATTTATATGGATTATGATGGGTTTTTTTTAAGATCGTGTTTATTTATTTGAGATAGCAAGAGAGAGAATGAGCGGGGAGGAGGAGAAGCAGGCTCCCAGCTGAGCATGGAGCCATGGCCGGGCTGGATCCCAGGACTCTGGGATCATGACCTGAGCTGAAGGCCGATGCTTAACCAACTGAGCCACCCAGAAGCCCCTAATGTTGTTTTGTTGTTGTTTTTGTTGTTTAACTTCTAATAGTTGTTCATTACTTTTCTGATTGTCTAATATAGTGGTGAGAGAGAGGATAATTGGAATAATACGTTTGAAATATTCTTTCAACAGGACTCTTTGTATTTCCATTAGTAGTTTTTACAGTGTTTATTCAGAGTCCAGCTCCTTTATTTTGTAACTTAAGTAAATGACTCCTCTCCCTTGGTACACGCTGAATATCACCTAAAGGGGTGCCCTGGCACATGCTCAGTCCTGAAATCGTACTTTGACCTACTGTTCCTGTAGTAGTCCCTCTGCTTCTGGATACCCACTATTTCCTGGATCCGCGGTCCTCTTCCTGCCCCACTGCTCTGGGTAAGCTCTCATTATCTCCCACCCCCAATAAACAAGGGCCCCCTAACTGGTTTATCCATCCAACTATTCGACGTGAGATTTGTAAAATGCAAGCCTTTGGCATGATTTTCACTTGTCCAGCCCTCGGAATAAAGTGCTGACTCTGGGGCTTGCTACGTAAGCCCCTGAAGGGGCCTGTCTGATTTCCGGGTTCGCCATCTTGCACCCAAAGTCTAAGCACTGTCTTAATGCTCGCAGTAAGTATATACCCCAGTTCGTGGAGTTTTGTTTTGGGGGCAGGGACTCTTAGGGACTTCCTAAGAGATTATCAACCATCGAGGAAAGAGCCCACACCCGAGGCAGGAAATGGGATGCCTGCAGCTAGCTCTGAAAGTACAGATTTTTTTCCAGTCATAAATACATCTCATTCTTGTGATCTCGTGATCTCTCTCTAGAAGAACCAGACTACCCGATTCCAGCCCCTTCCGCCCCACAGCGTTTTCCATTAAAACCACCAGTGGTTTGCATCCTCCCATTTTCCCGCTTCTGAACTTCCCTGAGCCCGGGACGTCCTCCAGCTCATTCGCCCTTCGGGCTGGGGAACACGTCCGTTCCCGCTCGCCCCCGCCGCCCGCCGCCTGGCGCTCGCACCGCGGCGTGCGCTTCTCGGTCTAGGCGGCCGGAGGGGCGCGGGGCGGGTCGTCCGGGGGCGCGGCCGAGGAGCCGGCCGGTCACGTGGCACGCCGGTAGTCACGCGGGCGCCGCTCAGCTGACCGGGGGTTCACGTGGCCCCGCCGGCCGGGAGCGAGGGGAGCGGCGAGCCATGGCGGGCTCGGGGCTCTGGTTTTCGCTGCTGCTGGCGGCAGGGCTCGCCGGCCGGGTCGCGGCCCTCTGGCCCTGGCCCCAGTACATCCAAACCTCCGAGTCCCACTACGCCATCTTCCCGCACAACTTCCAGTTCCAGTACCACGTCAGTTCGACCGCGCAGCCGGGCTGCTCCGTCCTCGACGAGGCCTTCCAGCGCTACCGCGACCTCCTCTTCACCTCCCGCCCTTGGCAACCTCCTGAACCCACAAGTGAGTCGGACCTGCCCCGCCTCGTTTCCGGCTCCGAGAGAGCCTGCCCGGGGGCGCCTCCCCAGACCTCCCGAGACGCCCTTCTTCTGGCTTCTGCCCAACCCTGTCGTCTAGTCACAACCCTCTGGTCTCCACTTCCTCCCGCGCCCTTTCTCCTGCTGTCATCTCAGACCCACCCCCATCCTTTAGTCCCCAGCTCCATTCTCTGCTTCACTGAGCTGACTTCCGGAGCCAGGATTTCTCCGGAATCCTGCTCCCCCCACCCCGCCCCGCCCCGGGCTCTGTTTCACCAAGAATGCCTGCTACCGGACTGCAGTTCAATCAGGATATCAAATTGCTGAAAATACTGGGCCAGGAGACGTCGAAGGTGATCCCTCTGACCGCGTTCAAGTGTCGCAGGGTCCCAGTGAGGCTGTGACCGGGGCTGGGTAGAGGACCTCAGAGGGGACACCAAAGATTGGCAAGATAAGACATTAGAAATGACTTGACCTATGCAAAATTACATAAAAAGTGTCTGATACATGGCATGTCCAGTAAATGTTTAAACTGTGAGAGAGATCGGAGAACACTTCCATAGGGAAATGAGTTTTGAGCAACCACTTAAAGTGGGGCGGTGGATATAATTGGCCAGGACTGAAAGTATTCCCGGGAGGAAGAAAGGCTTGAGCAGAGTCCCCGATGGTTATGATTGAGCTCAAAGTGCTTTGAGGGTGTATGTGATGAGGGTGGGGCTGGGGAGTGGGGAAGAATGAGGTTGGGGAGAAGTGTGGGATTGAGGGCAAGTCAGGAGTGCTTTGAATACTAGTTTCATCCAAAACAGCAGGGGTGAGCAGTTTTCTTTAAGGTAGTTGCTGAAGATTGTATTTGTGGATTATTTCACAGAAAATTGGTAAGAAGAGTCAGTAACGCAAAGGAATAAAATTCTGCTTTCTGGGCTTAAAATTTAGAGTTTTCTTCCCGCTATTTTGGAATCCAGTTCTCTGGTTATGATGTGTAGGTAGTTACGGGGGGAAGCCATATTTATGATTGGGCCATATGGTAACATCATCTTGTACTGTGTTTCAAGTGTGATTAAATTACTTTCACAAATGTTCTCATTTGACTTATAGAATTAAATGCATTTCATTAAACAGATGGTACTTAGATAATCTAGGGAAAGAAATAGAGTCTCAGTATCAGGGTAGTTCTTAACTGGTAAAATGGATTAGGCTGGGAAGGATAAAAGGCCTGCTATTGTGTGTGGCAGATCAGGTATTTCTGTGAATCTTTTGACAAGTAATGCCTTAGACAAGATTGGCATTCAGAACGTGTTTATTTTGGTATAGAACAGTTAAGGCCTGGCTTGTCCAAAAAAAAAAAAAAAAAGATCTGTCATCTAATTGGTATGTGCCTATTCTAGTGCTGGGCACTCTGGAGGTTACAAGAAAAACATGCTCAAAAGTAGACTCAGGATGCCTAGGTGATGCAGTCGATTAAGTATCTGACTCTTGGTTTCAGCTCAGGTCATGATCTCAGGGTCTTGAGATCGAGCCCCACATCAGCCTCCACCTTCAGCGGCAAATCCGCTTGAGATTCTCTTTCCTTCTCTCTGCCCCTCCCTCTTGTGTCCTCCCTCTCTTTCTCTCTAAAACAAATAAATAAGTCTTAAAAAAAAAAAGTAGGCTCAAGCTTTGAAGTCCAATTGGGGAAATATGAAGCAAAAGCACACAGTGTGTTATAAAACGCTTAAAAGATATTAGAATGTTTGCTACTACGGTATAAATTCGGATAATTCCTATACATCTAAATTAAGCCATTACCTCCATTGCTATAGGTCTAGAGTATAAGGAAGAAAATAGAAATGGGGATGATATGTGACAATGGTGTCCTAGTAAATTCCCTAATGAAAGATTTAGAGACAGATAAAAAACCTAAATAAGATGTTTATTTCAATTTGTTACCTTACTGTGAATCAGTTTGCTGTATTTGAGGGTTCTTATCCATTAAGAGGTAATGAAAACTGGTTTGGATCAACATTACCAAAGACACAGAAGTAACTTCCTTCTCTTTCGTTCTTCCTATGAAGCCTTCCCTTTGGAATATTCGTTTCCTGGAAGGCTTTCAGATGACTTGAACTGTAATCCTCTTTCTGCAAAAACAAGAATGAATCCCTGGAGGGAAAAGCAACATAAGCACAGCCCAAATCAGACTGTATTTCTCTATGGGGCTGATTTTAGTAAAGAAAACAACATATGCAATTTAAATCTTAGCTTTAAACAGCTTTCCATCTCCTTCTTCCACATAACTTCCTTGTAGGTTCTGGGCGAGTGTTCTTAATATAGCACCACTTCTGGTTTTGATCTGAACCTGGAATTCAGTGGAATCCATACTTCCCGGAAAAACAAATCTGTTATTGAGGTTTGATTTGATTCTGAATTCACCTTCAAGGATTAGCTGTAGCCCACCAATTGCTGAATGGTCTACGGAGGTGTTTAGTGTTTGCTACCTGTCTTTGTCATTGAGAGGTGTTTCTGCCAACTGGACAGTGTGTGTTGCATGTTGTTAAACCTGTTAAATGGAATTAGTTTAAGCTCTAGATACTTGAGTGAACCCAATTCTCTGTTTTGATTATTGAGCCACATCTTGTTTATGAATCAAAGATCTGATCACTTGGGATAGTACCTATCTAATGTTGCCCCAGATACTTTTCTGGGTGCCTGATGGAGTTGATAAAGCCCAAATTTTTTCAGGTAAAATGGCTAAATCTGATTATGTCATTTGACTGAATTCTTCTTTGCTTTTCTGAAACAAATTGTTTGAAGCCATAGTACTTAATGGTTTTTATTAAAGTTCACATCCAGTTGTGATAGTCACACACATATCCCTATGAGTTACTTAGGATGCCATTGTCCCTGAATAGAGTAACTCGTTTTAGGGGCGCCTGGGTGGAAGCGGTTGCCTTTGCTCGGGTCATGATCGCAGGGTCCTGGGATCGAGCCCCGCGTCAGGCTCCCTGCTTGGCAGGAGCCTGCTTCTCTCTCTCCCTCTGCCTGCCGCTCTGCCTACTTGTGCTCTCTCTCTGTCTCTCTGTCAAATAAATAAATAAAATCTTTAAAAAGAAAAAAAAAGAACAAGTCCTTTTATTTTAGAATGGAAGGAAGATTATTATATGAGTATCTGGATCCTTCTGCAGCCATTATCAGTATTTGATTTGCTCATCCTCAGACATGACACAAGTGACTAATAAGTGGCATAGCTGATTACAATCTAAATCTCCTAAAATACCTCCTTTGACCATTCCTTCTATTACAATGCCTGGAACATAAGAGATACTTAATTATTTGTTGGCTATATTAACTTAAAAGGGCTACTTTGTATAAAAGTAGAAAGTCATACAATTTTTGTCTATTTCTAAGATCATCAAAAAGATGATTTGCAGATTTCATTTAGAAATTATTGCCTTTCAAGTTTCAAATCTGGAATGTTAGCATGTGGATTCCAGGGAAAGGAGGCTCACACTGTGCTGTGGTCCCAGCTCAAACTACTCTTATCTCATTACAAAATTGGAGATGCCTTGGGAGTGCATCTAGGGAGTGTAGGAGGGAAACGGTTAAGGTTGGGCAGCTGGGCTGGCGAGAAGGAGCAGTCCTGCTTAGTGCTGCACTGTAATTGCATAGTGGCTATGTACCTTTAACCTTTTCTGAGACAAGGACAAGTTATTCCTGTGAAGACTTTATTGCCACTAAATTTATTGTTTGAAAGCAAAAAGGAAGAAAACCACACAGGAAGAATGTTTTGTAGTAGAATTATTCTTGTGAAGGGGTATGTGGAGAATGGAGGGATACATAAGGAGGAGAAATACAAGAATTTGGATGGAGATGGGTCGCAGGATAGTTTTTAGTGAGGGCCAGAATAATTGTTGTGCTCCGTTTTGAATCCCAAGGCCTAGACTAGCTTGGCCTCCAATCCTCAACCAGCCTCTTTCCCCACAACCTTGGTTTTGCTTTATTGTTAAGTCACAATATTTTTCCAACAGCCCGGGATAGTGCTGAGCCCAAGAAGCTCGGCTTGGTCAGGATGTGTGTGGGTAGCCTGGGCCTGGTTTATGAAAAACTCAAGACTTTCTTGAGCTGTCGTCACTCCCCCTGCCTTGGATATTCTGCTTGCAAACCTATACAGTAGAGGACTCAGGGTCTGGAACAAGATTTATTCAGGAGTCAGCCAGAGAATGTTTATGAATCACTTGTTTAGCTATGTGCCCTCAGGCAAATCGCCTAATTTCCAAGTAGTTGCTGCTTTTTTTTTAATCTGTCTCCATTTCAAGAATTTCTGAAGATAACGGAGATAGTGATGACTATCTTTACAATCTTTGAAGGAGGGTACAGGAGAAGGAAGAAGTAGGTCATTTTAAAATAAAACAAAAATTAAGTCTGAGCCCCAGAGCTGTCCTTCCTCCCATCTCCTTCCACCTCACTTCCTCATCTCCAAACAGAAGAGTGAAGCAGGGCATTGCAGGGTTTTTGCCAGTTGGTACTTTGTTCTTGTTTTTAATAGCAAGTGTGAGCTATCTTTTCTTATAGCTGCACAGTTTTTTGCTGGGGCACATTGTCAATTTCTTAACCTCTTTAAAGCATAAACCTCAATCCTTTTCCTGTGGATTACATTTACTGCCCAACCAATACTTCTTTTAGAAATAAAAGAGGTAACTTTTATATTTCTGCATCTTCCTAAATTTCCTCTGCTGTCCCTGGAAATAATGGATAAGGGGTGAGACAATGTGTATCAAGAGGGTTAGCCAGTTGGATTAGGAGTTCTCCCACCTTTGTAGAGTCAGTGACAGTGAGGACAGCTGAAGAGAGGTGGTTGGATCTGTGGAGGTGATAAAGTTTTTTTTTTAAATGTTATTTATTTATTCATTCATGAGAGTCAGAGAGAGAGAGAGAGAGAGGCAGAGGGAGAAGCAGGCTCCCCGCCCAGCAGGGAGCCCGATGTGGGACTCGATCCCAGGACCCCAGGATCAT